CAAAAAAACTTTTAATGATATTAGGATTAGTTAGGATTTAATGCTTAACAATTGACAAATAAATTATATATTTTAATTAGTTCGGTTTGTTGGGTTCGGTTCAGTTTGAAGGGTAAAAACCAAAACCGAACCAAACAACTACGGTTCGATTTTTTACATTCGGCTTCGGTTTGTTAGCGGTTCAGTTTTATTTGGCTACGATTCGGTATAATTTGATTCGGTTTTCGGTTTTCGGTTTTCGGTTTTTCGGACCCAACCCTAGTACTTGCACACATATTATAATATCTATTTTGTTAAGTTTCAATATACTTCCTCCGTTCTTTTTAAAATGCAACGGTCCACTTTTCACGTTTGCCAACGCACAAGTTTGACCATTAATATCTTTTATTCTTTAATAGTAAAAAAATTTAAAAAATAGATTTTAAAAATTTGAAATGAGAAGAATTTAACAATGTTTTTTTTTTTAATTTAATTTATAATACATCTATATATAATACATTTGAAAGATACAGTTATGGAAAGTTTTGTCATGTGTCATCTATAGATAATACATTTGAAAGATACAGTTATGGAAAGTTTTGTCATGTGTCATCTTCTAAGCAAATATTCATTATAATATTTTTTATTCTCTTTCTAATTTAGAATATTAGTTACTCCGTAAGTCTGTATTAATTATACGTAGAAGTTAAGTTATGTTAAAATTCAATCATAGACTAAACAGTTAGTTTAGGACTAATAAGTTAGAAGTTAAGTTAGACTAAAATTTATCAATTCATGTCACGTACATTAGTTTAGGAATAATTCATCAATCCATGAATTCTATGTCATCTTTTTATCAATTCATGTTCCTAATTATTTTTTGTACAAAAAATTAACTTCATAAAGTTAGAATAATAGACTTATATTACGTAATTTAAAAATTAAAAATAAATATACAATTATGAATAATGAGAATTTTGTTGTATTCTATTATAATCCATCAACGTCCTACACATTATTCATGTAAAATTTTCTCGGTATCGATATATCATACGGAGTATCAAACATTTATCATATCAGACCAGATCAGATCATATTAAATAAAATCATGCTAGAAAATTCCAGTTCAGTTAAAAACATTTTTAAAGGAGTCCTCCCTAAAATTTAGAACTTCATATTAGATTAAAATTTATCTCCCGAGACATTCTACCCATTCTAATGTCATGATATAATACTAATGAGAGTAATAAATACGGAGTATGTTTTTAATTGGATTGAATTTTTTCAAGTTAAACATATCTGAATGCTTTTTAGAGTTATTTAAAACTATTATTACTACTCCCTCCGTATCAAATTACTTGACCCACTTTCCTTTTTTAGTGTATCAATTTAATTGACCCCTTTCCCTTTTTGGAAAGAATCTCACTCAAAAAGCAGCTACAGTACTGCTACAGTACCGCTACAATGTCGCTACAGTACCAAAAACCTCTTACTTTTAATAAAGTCTACAGTAATTGTCTTAAACTGCGTGAAAAGCACACAGGTCAATTAATTTGATACGGAGGGAGTACATACTTTTTATCATTTGAAAATTGAGAAATAATATTTTTAGCATTCTTTGTAATACACAGTTGGTGAGATATTGTGAGTAATAAAAACTACTATGTAGTAGGGAGTATAAATTAACCTGAGGTATATGTACTCCAAATTAAATGTAAAACAAGTACTACATTTTTTAAAATCTTATTTTTAATATTTTTGCTACATTTTTGCTATTTTTAATACTACGTATAATACTACTTCTGTTCCATTTTATGTGTCTCACTTTGACTTGACACAATTATTAATGAAGTGCTTGAAAAAGTAAAAGTTGTGGTTGGAGTTTGGGAAGTATAAAGTGAAATGGTGTCAGCCACATATTTCTTTCCAAAAGAAGAAATGAGACACTTACTTTGGGACAACCCAAAAAGAAAAGTAGAACATGTAAAATTGGAAGGAGGGAGTGATAATTTTATCTATAAAGTCAATATGGTGTAAACAGAATTAAGTAAGAACACGATATTTAATGAAAAAGATTGATAAGAAGAACTTTCTCTGAAAGCACAAATAAAACTTTTAAAAAGAGAATTATTAAAAAATATGTACAACTTTCCATCCTTAAAATAGAGATTAAAGAAATGTTCGAGGTTACTAGAATGTGATGAGAAACACTTTTAGGAAGAAATTAAAAAGCGCGAATTTATCTGACATGGTTAGGTTTAGTAATTCTATAACTCGCAATATCAGTGGCGGATTTATGATTTAGATTTTGGGTGTTCATTTTATTTATACAATGAAAACTTGAAAGAACAATAAATAATTAAACAGGAATTATGCATATATGATAACAAGTTTTTCAAAATTTCGGGTGTTCATAAGTACACCTTTGAACATATATATATAAGTACACCTTTGAACAAAGTGGTTCCGCGCGCCACTAGCACGCGTAAAACAATCTGTTATTTGGATACACAAGGCCCATTTGATAACACTGAAATTGGTTGAATCAGATAAATCTGCTGAAATTATGAAATTATGTTTGAAGTGACTGCATAGACTGAATTACTGGATAATTATATTTCAAATATAAATTTTTAATTAATTTAAGAAAAAATACATTAGACTAGCTAAAATGGTGTTCTATAGTAACAGGCTGAAAACAATTGTCCGAAAAGCTGAAAACAAGGGTTGTCAAACGGGCTAATAGATTAGGGCTAATAGATTACTGTAGACAATTGTTTAGATGCAGTATGTTTGCATCTAAACTGTTTATTGAATGAGACATCATTATTTGGAAAAAATAGGTGAAAATGCCCAGATAAAATTAAATAAAATAAGATCAAATCAAATGAAATCATACCAGAAAAATTCAGTTCAATAAAAAAAATGAGTCCTCTAAGATCTTTAGAACTCTATATGAGATTAGAATAAATCTGGTGAAACATTCTACACATTCTAATGTTCTAATATAATTCGAGTACTAACAAGAGAAATAAAGATATTTATAATTAGACTATTGTTTTAGTTTAAACATATGCGAATGCTTTTCAGAGTTATTTAAAGGTATTATTTTTTACCATTTGATAAGTGAAAAGTAATATTTTGAGAATTCTTTGTAAAACATATATGTGTGATACTATGAGCAGTAAAATGCTATTATAAATTACTTTAAAGTACATATAATCCAAATGTAAAACAATTATTATTGCAATTTTAAATACTTATTTTTGATTTTTTTTCAATTTCAAAGTATATATATTCCAAATGCAAAACAAGTATTGCAATTTTAAAATCTTATTTTTTTTTCTTTTTCAATTTCAAAATACATTATATTAATATTAATGATTTGATTTTAAAAGTTAAAACAGTGTAAACACAATTAAGTAAAAATAGATATTTAACAAAAAAGAACTAAAAAACAGAATTCAAAAAAACTTTAAGAAATTAAAAAAATTGGACACCTTCCCATCTACGTTAGAGTATTAAAAAAATGTTTAAGGTTGTTAGAATGTAATGAGAACCACTTTTAATAAAAGAAAATTAAAATGGGTAAACTTATCTTACATGGGTTATGTTTAGTAATTCTAGGGGCGCATAAAGCAATTGTTTATTTAATACATAAGACCTGTTTAGTAACACTGAACTTGGCTAAATCGGAACAATTTTTTGAAAATATAAAATTCTGGCGGAAATGAATGCATTGGCTGAATCGATCATTGAAATATTATGTTTCAAATGTGTTTTGTTAATAAATTTAGGAAAAAATATATGAGAATAGCTAAAATTGTACTCTATAGTAAATTCACTCAAAAAATTACTCCACCTGAATTATTTTAATAATTTCACAATTTAGCGCACAAAGTCAAATCTACGTGTTTGGCAAAAAAAAATGGCTGATAATCTCAAAACAAATTGCCATATGGGCTCATAGATCCGGTCTATGTTTGGCATTTAATTTCGAGCTATATGTGGAGGCTATTGTCTGAATTAAGGTTTATTGTATGGACAAAAGAATGTTGTCCCGACATGAATTTTGAAATGCTTCATATAAACTATTAGTTGAACAAGGTGAATCTGTTTGATAAAAAGAGCTGACAAGCGTTTAGATAATATGACCTGACCAGATCAGATCATACTAAATCAAATCATATTCGACCATAATAGATAAATCAGACAAAAAAACAGTCAATTAAAAACAATTTAATGGAATCCTCCCTAAAATTAAGAATCCTATATTAGATTAGTATTCAAGAAATCTCTTGGAATTAATTAGCTTATTATTGGGTTAATTACAAAACAAGCACAAGTGAGATAGACATAGAAAATTAAACTATCTTATTATGGAGATAATCGTTAGTATTTTAAGAATATTTATATTTTTATTTAATCACCAAAATTGAGACGATGACACGTGATTCGGTACTAAAATATAAAAAGGGACTACAAAAATTATTCAAATAACCTCAAAAATTAATTCCTTAATTATGATCTGATTTAGAAAACAAATCTTTAAAACCTTTCAAAATCATGGATATGGATTTTATTCATGTATGGATTTATGCAATGAAGTCATTTAGCTCTATATGTCAATGATTCAAAATAAATGTAAGATATGTTTAATAGCTCCAAGCCACCAAATTTCCAATGAAATTGTTGAGTTAGAATAGAACTGTCTGGCCTGTGCACTTTAAGTTAGAATAGAATTGTCTGGCCTCAGAAAATATAGACAACAAACATGTTTAGATTATTAGTTCAAAAATAAGACATAATCAATAAATTAGAATATGCATTAGAAACCAATATTATAATCAATTAAATAAGTGATTTTACGTTAATAAAACTAAAGAAGATCATTTTAACCCGTGCACGGCACGGGTAAAAATACTAGTTAATAAATAAAATAGAGTAAACACGTGAATAATGGAAAAAGTCTAATGTATTTAAAAAAGAATGGAGGAATATATTTTTATGGAGTTGTTTATTTTGAATGCTCTAGTAAGTTGGCCATTACTTGTGAATCGTCGATTTTAGTGGAAATCAATACCATTGATCATGGTTTCTGAAGGTGAGTGACCGAGTGAAGAATGGGGGTAGAAACTCTGCAAAAATTGGCACCTTTCATCAAAGAAGCCTTTCTTCAATCCTTTCGGGTTGGCAAATTCTTCTGCGCCCTTCACATCACCAACACCTATGTCTGCACATTCGCTCTGGTAAGCTATTTACCGCATCTGCCTTAAAAGCTCAAATTGCGTACTCCCATGTCTCCCTTTTCACTTTCTATTTTGACAGACCAGAGGGCCCAGTATGCTGCCGACGTTCAATTTGACCGGCGACTTTGTCTTGGCCGAAAGGTTGTCAACCCGGTTCGGAAAAATAGTCCCTGGAGATGTGGTCCTTGCTCGGAGCCCCAAAAACCCGAGGAAAATCATCAATAAGAGGGTGGTGGGAGTGGCTGGGGATACTGTTAAATTTCTTGCAGACCCGAGGAATAGCGAGAGAGAAGAAACTGTTGTGGTAATTGTGAATCCCTAAAGCTACGTTCTTTGCTTGTATTTTCCTATCTTTTTTTAGGTTATGGGAAATTAATACGTAGTACTTCGTATTTTTTAATGGAAAATTGTAGATTGGGTCCTTGTATTATCACAAAAATGTCAATTAAGTTCTTGTATTTAAAAACAAAACAGTTACTTTGCCGATGTGGCACATGTGGACCGCCACGTGTGTTCCATGTTAGCGAGACCTTCTGACATGGCAAGGTTTAACCTGCTAATTGACTCACATTTTTCTATGTTAAGGAATTTGATTGGCTTTTCTAAAGTATTCCCTTCTTTTAACCAATCGAATTAAGCTTTCAGTGTGTTTTTCTTCTTGGTTATAGCTTTCTAGGATTTTATAATTTATATGATGGGGAACTCGGCGAACTCCATATAACTATTCTGAAAAATATTGTTTGGCAAGTAGCTCTGAGGAATTTTGAAATAGAGGCAAAACTTACAAATAACAACAGATAATGTAGTTGTGGTAGCAGACACTGTATTAAAACGTTTGGATTAATTTTACCTGCTTGGGAAAAAATGGGGGCGGTCCTATTTTACTCCATATCCACCGCTGCTAAGGTTGCACGGTGATAACATTACTGACGCAGCTGGATAGTAACAGCCACAGTTGTCACTGACACCGTACATTAACAATTAGCAACCAGTGTTGAAGGCGGTGCCGGATAGTAAGTGGTGAGGGAGATAGCGGAGGTGAAGGGTGCTATTATCGGTATACTTACAGCTACTGCTATGTGCTGTGTAGTAGCAATGTACAATGCGACTATCACCTGTAAAACAGCAAAAGTTTGATAGCGTTTGAAAACCTGGTAAAAAGTACCTTTCAATGTACTATTTAGTAGCAATGCGCCATAGCATACTGCTACTATCACCTTACTTATGTATGAAATGTTGAAGGTGAGAATGTGAGATTTTTATTTTAAGTTCTGTTAGTTGGAATCCAAGCATAAAAATACCAAATTTTAAATAAAAAATATTAGCAATTTTAGTTTGTGGAATACGATCTGTGTTTCAACATCAATATCAGAAAGTTACCATATTTATTGGCATTTTCTGAGCTCTCAGAGAAATTGTGTTACCACTCATATTGATATCTCAGGCCTCAAAATAGGGAATTTCGATGAATATATCCTGGCATTTGCATCATTGGGCAGTGCAACTTTGTAATTCTTCCGTTTTGTTACTCAGTATTAATGGTGGAGTAAATTTTATGTGCTTCGTAAAATTTATTGATAGGTACCTAAAGGGCATGTTTGGATAGAAGGAGATTTCAAGTATAATACCAACGATTCAAGGGAGTTCGGGCCTATTCCTTATGGGCTTATTGAGGGCAGAATCATATGGATTGTAAGTTAATTCTTGATTTCATTTAATTTTGTGGTTGAATGTTTATCTTTTAACATCCAACTCATTACCTTGCAAACTTTCTCAGATAAGTTCTTCATTTCAAAACTTAAGAACTATGAAATGCAAATGTCATCAGTTTATGCACATGCAGACAACATTACATTTGACCCTGAAGTGCATTTTCTGTTTGCAAATTGTTTTAGATATTGATTATTTACTTTACATAGGTGTGGCCTCCCGAAGATTTTGGATCTGTGGGAAGAATAGTCAAGTAACTTGGCTCCAGAGGGTCGTCCATGTTTTCTCATCAAACATTGTTTGACGCATCAGAGTCGTATTTGTGCTCCTTTGCATTTGTAAAGATTGATTGTTTTGCAAAATTTCCAGAATGGTTGTTGAGGAGAGCTGCATAGCCAAGACCTTTCAATTAAGGGAAAGCAACACATTTTTAGGGCTTCGAAATTTGAAAAAGAAAACACAGGGTTTTTAAGTTTGGGAAGCTGCCTGCATCAGGATGGTCTTTCATATTTCCCTTTTTAGAGTAATAATTCCCAAGAAAATGCAGGTTTAGCTTTCTTGGGAGAAAGAATCCTTTTCACCCCTAAAGAGTAGAGTGTCCATGTTTTCATGGACAGGAGTGTCCTTGCATTTTTTCAAAGTTCTGACTTTCTTTTAGTCTAATATGCGGTTGAAGGTGTTGTATTCACATTGAATTGAATATATCTTCAATTTTTTACTTTGTTACTTTTGAAGTTTTGAGTTATTGTACAGACTTTGGTCTGCAGATAAAAATACTCTCATAGGATTGGAGCACTATTGTCTTCACGTCATCAAACGGATGACTTTGGTTATGCAAAGAAGGCTAGGAAGCTAGAGACATTAATTATATTGATTAATTTTTTAAGGGTAGAAATGTAATGTTTAATCCTACTTAGAAAAAAAACAATATATTTTGCCCTATTTTTGAAAGATAGCAATGTTTTAGTCTTAGTTTAAGCAATTTCGTCTTGTTTTTTCTTTCCCAATTTATTTCTATTTCTACATTTGTTAGTTTTAGACTTAGGCATGGAGCTGGGCCGGGCGTTTTGTGTTTTGGGGAAGACTCGGTACCAGCCCAGGTTACCGCCGGGTCCGGGTCGGGCCGGGCCTCGGGCGACGTTGTATTTTTCTTTTCCTTTTTCTAATTAACCCCCCACCCCCCACCCCACCCCCAAACCACCCCAAATGGCCCAAAATACCCAGCCCAACCCAGGGTTTAAAAAAAATAAAAATAAATAAAAAAGCCCGAACCGGGTCCGGCCTGGTCGGGCCGGTTCCATATTTAGCTGACCCGAGCCAGCCCTTCCCAAACCAGCAGGCCGGGCCTACCTAAACCGGACTGTAGCGGGTCACCGGGCTGGGCCGGGCCCAAAACAGTACCGGTCCCAGGCCCGGCAGCCCGACCCGAGTCCAAGACTATTTAGACTATAAATAACAATATGATTTGTTAATCGATCATGTATTTTGGTATAGTATATTATAGTTTATATTCAATCTATTTCACATCATTTGAATTTAGGGATGGACTCGGGCCGGGCGGCCTGACCCGGAACCGGCCCGGCCCGGTTACTGTTGAGCCCGGCCCGGCCCGGCCCGGGAACTGGTGGGCCCAGCGGTTCGGGTCGAACCGTCCCGGCCTTTGGGCGGTTCGGGCTCGGGCCTATGTTTTGGTGAACCGGCCCAGCCGGTTTGGGTCCGGTTCGGGCCGGAATTTATTTTTTATTTTTTGAAATTTTTTAAAGTTTTGGGTTGGATTAGGTATTTTGGGCCATTTGAGGTGGTTTGGGGTGGAGGGGGGGGGGGGTAGGGGGTTAAATAAGAGAAGAAAAAAAAAATTAAAAATCCGGGTGGCTCGGCCCGGCCCGGCCCAGTCTGGCCTGGAACCGGACCCGGAACCGCCCACCACCGGTTCGGGATCGGGCCTCATTTTTCTGAACCGAGGCCCGCCCGGGCCTAGGCCCAAACCGAGCCCGAACCGGCCCGATGCCATCCCTATTTGAATGTATACATATTTTTTATCCTCTGACATGGGCATTCTCTGCTTTTCATTTCGTAATTATTAATGTTTCAATTACCAATAGTTCAAGAAAATTGGAATTGAGCCAAAGTTATCAGAATCTTCTCAAATTCATCACAACCAGCCAACCATGGGACAAATGAAAAAGAAAGAATAAAAACAAATGAAAATAGAATAAAATATTGTATTTTATTCTGTATGCCGATTTCATAGCCGATCCCAGAATTATTGGATTATTTGGATGTTGTTGGCTTGTATTATATTTTATTTATTGGAGCACTTAATTTTAATGAAACTTTTCGATGCTCTTCAGATGTTTTTAGATTTTAATTACATAGTTTTAAAACATTTGTAGACAAATAAACACTAGTGCATTCAGATTCTTATTTTGGCCGCATTTCAGTATATGGAGAATCTGTGTCACGGACGGATATCAACAAAGTTCATGAAATCCAATTGAAAATGGCTAAATCTGAAATTTTTTAAAAATTACGGGAAAAACTGAAACACATGATAACTACAGAAGAAAAACATGATCAAACTTCAGCCATGGTAATTGAATATCAATTAGCTCAATATATATGACCTCACCCCTTCCCTCCACACTAAATCCCCAGACCAAAAATGCAGACCCTGCAGTCCTGGTCTCCCTTTCAGAGGAACCTTAAACCGGAAGCGTGATGAAGTGGGGTATGTACTGGTCTAACCAACATGCCGATTCTTGTACGACTGGTTTGAACATCTAGGCTAGCTTGTAGACAGGCTTAAAAGTTAGAACGGCTGGTATAACGCTGTATGATGTAGGATCAAAACAGGTTTATGGACGGTTACCATTTCTGGTCCCATACATAGGACATTCTCGGTCACGGGAAGGGGTAACTTGCACCGCCTGGCGCCTGCTCTGGGACCATGTGTACCACTGCCCATTCCTGATGGGTAAGCATAAAAAATCCCTCTTGATTCTACGGTAGAATTTCTACCGTCCTGAATGTCAACAACTACTAGGTACAACGTTCTTTACATGCAACAAGAATGCCTATAATATTAGTAAACAATAGGTTAAAAGTAACAGTTTCTGTTCTGTAGCAGCAGTTGTGTATGTACAAGATGCTGATTTGTCAAGGAGCTCTGCAATGGGCAATCTCGCTGAGTGTTTACCCACACTATAGAGCAAACCTAAGCGCTTCTCTGTTGTTTCTCTACACACTTCATTACTGGCTATTGGTAGGGCCAATATAGTCAATGACCTTTGGTTTGAGTATCATCACTCATTCATCTATGGCACATGATCCATCATATCGGGCTTGCTCTTGATACCTGCTGCATCAATGGACTATTCACATCACCAAATAAGTAAACAATGTGTTTTGTTACAAAAACCATAAATGAATGAATGCAGACTGACTGAATTCCTTACAATGATTTACTTTGTAGTTTTTTTGGATCATAAATAAACAGCTGGTTTTATATGCGGAATGGTGTATAGAGCCCACAGAGGGAATTAAACTTGAGTTTCATAGGAAGGAATAATGGAGGAATATAAATTTCATCATCACGTAGACAATAAAACGTTGCTTGGAATATTTATTTTTTGTCAGAACATTGGGGGAATAATGATGTTAAGGGTAATTAGAGGGTACTTAGGTCGATCCACTCTTATTTTTCATCCCCAATGAAATGAAGAGAAATACTTGGGGATGTCTAGGAAATTGCCTTCCTAAATTTGAAGGAATATAAGTTCATTTGGAGTACGTCTACCCATCCACAAACTATGGAGTTCCTCCAAAGTGAAATCAGGCTGGAAAAGAAATAGAGTTGAAGCCTAACACACAGGCTGTTAATAATAGTCTATAATATCGGGACATCTTTGTAATTTTCCACTTTATCAGTTTATTATATATAGACCACCAGGACACCCTAATAGGGTGAGCCATTATTCCATATTATTATTTTCATAGTTAAAAGTGGAATAATGAGGAGACCTGGTTTTGGACGCTTGCCGCAGTAGTCCACCTTTGAGGATGCTCCACTGGCACAGAGCTATCACAGAAGAAGGTTATTGTCCTAAATGGCCCTCCTTGTGTCCAGTGACTTGTTAGAGGAGGTGGCAGTTCTCTCATCACCCACAACACAAAAGCTGATGGCACTGAGGATCCTGAAAAACGTTTTCCCCAGGAAAGACCATTTATGATGTTATCTTGGTGTAGCATAAGAAACGTGCGCTGCACATGAGATGGAATGGTGGAAAAGTAGTGTATACCAAAAAAATAGTACAACACCAAGAGGAGAGGTGTGACACCATTTATCTGTTGCCCATGCCAGTGATATAGCAGCTGCAGTAATTAGATACATTTTTCTCAAAACCAAATCTTCTTACAAAACATCCTGTGCTAACAAAAAAATTCATACGGTCTGTAGTGGAGATACATACAGGAATATCTGTAAATATAGCAATGATTGCACTTGACGAGAAACATAAAATGGAAACACCGGCCAACCCTGCAACCTGCATCCAGCACCACAACTTTTATTTCTAAAAGAGAAAAACAGTTTGGGACCATGTAATTTAAGAGCCATGTGTACACTTGTACAGTTTAGTCACCTTCCACATTTCTGATGAGGACCTTTCAGATTTGACTTTTCTCATTCTCAGAAACAACACAAGTCCTGAACATTGAATAAAAAAATAGCCAAAGTCAGGGTGCAATAAATGATTCTTAAAGTTCACGAAACCTTCTTGAAATCAAATTGGACACTATGCTTACACGTGAATCTCATACGGTCACTAAGGTTTCGCGTGGACCAAATTGCCCACTGTTACATGTGAAACTCATTTTGGCCACTAAGGTTTCATGGTCCGTCATTTTTGGACACTCGTGATTCTCTTCTAACAATAGAAATCATTAGTCTTATTTTTCTTTCTTTTTTGGTGTATAAACTTAACTTAATTGATGTGTGTACTTTTAGATACACAAATTGATATTTTAATTGCGAACATCTCATATTTAAGAAGTTGAAAATATATTTTGGATTTTTCATTTCATACAATCTTTACAGAACTTCAGGAAATATCTATTTGTTAATTGAATTAACGAAATTAATGAAATTAGTTACATTATACTACGTAATATTTATGAGATTTTCTTAGTTGGAACATTAATTATATATTCTAAATCTAAATACATCAATTAAGTTATTTTTAGATATAAAAAACAAAGGAAAACGAATACTAATGGTTTTCAGATTTTCAGAAGATGGAAAAAAATTGGTGGGTGATCAAAAATGACGAAAAAACGTCAAATTTGTGCTTATTTGGTCCATTTGAAACCTTGGTGTTTAATAAGAGATTCAAATGTAACCATATTCTCCAATTTGATCATGGTCCCCACAAATGTTTAATGCCTGGAAAGCATATAAACCACAAAAAGTGAAAGAGTAATGGTATGGAACTCCATGGTGGGGCCAGGTAAAACAATGTGTAGCAAAAAAAAAGGAACAAAATGATTAGGAACACATGTTGTATATGCAATGGGAGTTTGTTAATTAGAGGAAAGCCTTATTAGTAATGGAGAAGGAGACGTTTACCATAGCATGCCAAGGCTCCGCCCAGCAAAAGCACTGAAATGGAAAAGAGATCTACATATACCTGGATGATTATTTAAACTCTACTTTATTTCATTTGATCAAGGATAACACAAACTGCAACTACAGCCAACATATATTCAAACACGCATGCGCACGCAGTATAACCTCATTAGGCTGATCTGACACAGTAAAAATCTCACTTAAACTGTTCAAATTTGTTCATTAGACTATCCCATTCGTTCCAAACCGACCCCAAGCCAGCTAAAAGGATTCGATATTTGTGAATATAGATGCTGGAAAACATATATTCACATAAGTGGAACCATTTAATCTAAATTAAGT